AATCATTTTTGGATTTTTTTTTAATTTTTTGAAGAATTCAACATATCAATGTACTAAAAAGATCAATTACAATTATCTATTGTTATTGCTTTAAGATGGGTTGCTGATTGATAATTCAGAATAATCAAATGTTTATAGCTAAAATGGAGGGAGGGAAATCAATATTCCCTACTCCGGGTGCATTTTTAAAAAGTTATTTATAACGTTGCATTATAATATTTTATCTGCCTTAAAGATGCTCTATAAACTTGTTTTTAATTTTTTTCATTTTCCCAGTAATTACTGTTGGTAAAATTTGTCTTTCATGAAACAGGCTTTTAGGTTTGGATCCATTGTTTATAGCTGTATACAATCCAGTTTCATATAGTCCCATGAAAGAGAATGATACAATTTCCGACATTCATCTTCTTTTTGCTTCAAAGGGGCTATATATGTCCTGTTCTTCATTTACTTAGATCTGTAGAATAAAAAGTGAATAGCAAATACATGAATTTGCATCTGTACATTTTATGTTATTATTTTTTAAACTGATTCATTTGATCTGCAACAGAATGCAGCCTGCAATCATTGCAACATATCAAACTACATAGGCAAGAAGATTCTGAAATGTGAAAATCACAATTTTTTAAAGCCAAATGGCTAAAACTACTCAAGTGATTCAAAAACTGTTGACTGTTCTGTCACTGAGCAATTTCTTCCTTTTTTAAAGACTACTTCTGACACGACATGTAATAAATTTTAATAATTTATAAGGCATTCTTAATATTTTGAGAGATAAACTCTGGAGTTTAGAATGAAAGTGAAGCATCAACATTTTGAAAATAAGAATAGGGAATTAGATGTTACCAAATTTTAATTCATCCTCACAGGGAATACACTTGAGGAAAGATGGGATAGAAATGCAGTGAATAAAAAACCCACAGTATCTTCAGACAACACAGCCAATAGAAGAATACTGGGAACTGTAGCACAGCAATACCAAGAAAGCCCCCATTTCCTTATTAACTAAGAAAGAAAAATGTCCACTATAGAAATATTTGATACGTATATGTTTATCTCAAAACAAACTGGTATTTTACTAATAGTGTTTGCATTAATTGCAGTTTCAAATGAAAGCCCCATCATACAATAAGATTCCTATGATCCAAATGAAATCTTGTCCACTTTATGAGCAATGGGAGAAAATTCCTATGGGGATGGGAGTAATATTTAAAAACAATGAGGAATGGGACAAAGAGGAACAATCATTGCCCATCATTGATTCTCTTCTAGTCGGATCCTAAATCCTGGCAGATTCCAAGACTGAAGACCAGGAGGTCCCTCTGTTGTGAGGCTGAAATGAGTGGAAATTCTAAATTAACTTCAGTGGGCTATTTTCATTCATTTCATTGTTCTCAGTGCAATAAATTCAATGTGTTATGTTCGTAAAGTTGGTTCATTTAAGACGAGAGACTTCGGCTTAGTAACAACAGCTTTTTATTTACTGGCTAGAACAAGCTTAAAAAACAATAGCAGCCATGGCGGCTCTTTTATAGAGCTTGCTGCGGCTAGGCGGCCAATGACGCCACTTCAAGTCTGCCGTGCTTGGTTTTAGCCAATCGTGGCAGACTCTTAGCGAGCCAATCAGAACTGTCCAAGCTGTCCAATCAGGTAGCGGCCTAAACGGACCAATGGGAATGTGAGGCTTCAAGTCTATGGATATGGAACACCCCTCCCCTCTTGGTATCGTCCAAGGGGCGGGGTGACGTAGTCACGTAGGTAGGCGGGTCTCCATACCTGCCTACTTGACTTGCGTGCTTCATTTAGTCTCTGGTCATCGGCTGGTTCGGAGAGGCTCCGCGTCGCTCTCAACTCTGCTGATGGAACTGCCTGGAAGGGTGAGCTGGGCCTATAGCTGTGACTCCTGCCTGGTTCGCCCAGGTTGGTCGAGTCATTCACTCCACTGCTCCCGCCTGGATTTTCTGGGCTGGTCGAGCTTGTCCGGCCATTACTTTCAGATGAAGCACCTGTCTGTAGAGGTTCTGAGTTTTCAGGTGAATATGGTTGGTTTATTTTTTGGGTTTGGTCAGCGGGGTGTCTGCTTGCATTGAGTTTTTTCCATTTTCAATGTTTGAGGTTTCCCTCCCTCTGATTTCTTTATTAAGGTCTGGACTGGCTAGCCTTGACCATAGCTGGTCGATGTGGCGCTTCCAGCTACGCCCATCAGTTGTTTCTAGGCGGTAGGACCAGGGGGCGGTTATTTGGGTGATGCGTGCGGGTACCCAGAGAGGGTCCCCAGTGAAGCTCTTCATGAAGACAGTGTCGCCAATGTTGAATGCATGATGTCGGCTGGTGGAACCTGGAGGTTTCTCTGGTTTATAGGTGGGATGTAAACGGTCTAGTGGTGAATGGAGCTTTCTGCCCATAAGTAGTTCTGCTGGGCATTTATTAGTGGTTGTGTTTGGCGTGATGTGGTGTATCAGTAGCATTTTATTGATTTTTTCCTAGATGTTGCTGTCTTCAATTTTTTGTAGGGTTTTTTGGTAAACTGAATCATTCGTTCCACCCGCCCATTCGCCGCCAGGTGAGCGGGCAATGTCAATGCATGTTTGATGCCCCAGCAGTTAGATATTGTTCGAATGCCAATGCCATGAACTGTGGCCCATTGTCGGACACTATTACATCAGGCAACCCGTGTGTGGCAAAAAGTTTGTTGAGTTTAGTTATGATGGCCTCTGTGGTTGTCTTTTTCATAGTGCAAACTTCCAGCCAATTAGAATAGGCATTGATGGTTATCAGGAATGCGTGTCCGTGAGTGGAACCAGCAAAATCAAGGTAAATTCACGACCAGGGGCCTCTGGGTGTTTCCAGAGGTGGTGCTGTGAGGGGGTGGATTGTGTTTGTTGGCAACTGTTGCATGCGGCGACCCATGTTTTGATCTGTCTGTCCATCCCCAGCCACCAAGTGTAGCTTCTTGCCAGGGCTTTCATCCGGATGATGCCCGGGTGCCCTTCATGCAGCATGTCCAATACTTTGGTTTGTAATGTTTCGGGTATCACCACCTGATCTCCCCAAAATATGCACCCTTTTTGAGCAAAGAGCTCAGTTTGCCGGTTCCTGAAAGGTTTAAAGTGTTTGTCATTGTTATTTTCTGACCAACCTCGTTCTATCCAGCTCAAGACCCACGCCAGCCGCCTGTCTTTTTTTGTAGTTGTTTTTTTGTAGGCATTTTTCTAGTTGTTTTTTATTAGCCGCTACCACTAATACATCATCAAAGTATGGCACTACTCCCTTAATGCCTTGCAGCATTCTTTCCATGACGCTTTGGAAAACCCCAGGTGCTACACTGACACCAAATTGGAGGCGGTTGCATTTAAATGCGCCTCAGTGTGTTACAATCGTTTGAGCTTCGGTGGTTTCTGCATCGACCGGTAGCTGTTGATAGGCTTGTGCCAGGTCGAGCTTTGCAAAGACTCCCCCCCCCAGTGAGTGCAGGAGGTGTTGGACTACTGGTACGGGGTAGGCGCTTTGCTGCAGGCATGGTTGAGGGTGGCCTTATACTCACCACAGATTCTTATAGAGCTGTCCGGTTTGATGGAGGTGACTATAGGTGTTTCCCAACGGGCATGATCAATGGGTTCCAATACTCCTTGGGCGAAGAGCTTATTTAGTTGCTCGTCTATTTTGGGCTTGAGTGCAAATGGCACTCACCACGGTTTGAGGCGGATAGGGGCGACATCTGGGTTAAGATTGAAGGAGATTGGGGACCCCTTGTACTTGCGATTCCCTTGGTAGTGTCTGAGGATCAGCTTTTGGTCACTTAGCTCGTGTCGGCGTATGCTGGGTATTAGGCATTTGATGGTGTGCCAGGAGACAATGGAGAGGTAGGATCCGGAATCCACTTCCATGGAGCATGGTTGGTTTTCGATTTTTACTGTTATGTGTACTATCTATGGTAGAAGAATGGTTGATGATGACCATTTGATGGGTCTCTTCTTTCCACGGTGCCTCACTGAATCGCTTGGTTCGGCCATCTCGGTTCCATCGGCTGTCAGTCTGGCGGTCCCGATGCTTTGGGGGTGTGCCGTCTTGTCGTCTCGGGCTACCTCCTCGATGCCGGGGGGTGAGGTTGCATTTATTTCAGCATACTTTTGCGGTGTGCCCCCGCTTCTCGCAATGCCGACAAATGGCATTAAGAAAATGGCATTCAGAGCGGGGGTGATCGCCTCCGTATCTGGCGCATTGAAACCCCGACTTATGACCCCGCTGGTCTCATCGATCGCATTCTGACTGGAGCCAGTGGATTTCTTCTCCTCGTAGTCTCTGTCAGAGGGGGATTTGGTGTTGCCATGGTGGATGGTGGTGGTATGCTTCTCCGATGTTGAAGCTGTTTCGCTGACAGGGCAGCGGTTGGCTCCGTTTGATCGCTGCATCCAAGCCACTGATTTGCAGGTGGCTTCTGCTGCCATTGCTTCAGCTATGGTGTCAGCGAGGGAGATACTGCCCTTTGCCATCAACTTGCTTTGTAGCGTGGGGTCTTTTAGGCTGAGGACGACCCGGTCTCGCATGGCCTCTTCTAGGTCAGTGAATCCACACAACCCTCCAAGGTCCCTCAGGTCGACTACGAATTCTCTAATGCTCTCACCCTCGTGCTGGTCTCTTTGGTAAAAGTTGTGCTGGTGAATGAGGGTGGGCACGGGCGGAGTGTAGTGGTTTCGGAGGATAGGTGAGAGGTCATCCCAATCCATCATTTTGATGTCTGCGGGTTTCACCAAAGCCTTGGCCATTTTAAACACGGTGGGTCTGCAGTGTGATAGGAATACAGCCCATTTCCGGTTGCCATTGGCATCTTTCAGGTTGCTGCATTCCAAAAACATCTGAAACCAGTCGATGTAGGACTCCCAGTCCTCAGTGGCCGGATTAAAGGGTGTGGGTGGCGTGGTGTTGCTGGCCATCTTGATGGTTGTTTCGCATCATTTGCCACATGCTGGATTGTCTCGTTGTCTTCTTTATCCCACCCTTGTTGCCAGTGTTATGTTCGGAAGGTCGAGTTCACTTAAGACGAGAGACTTCAGCTTAGTAACAACAGCTCTTTATTTACTGGCTAGAACAAGCTTAAAAAACAATAGCAGCCGTGGTGGCTCCTTTATAGAGCTCACCGCAGCTAGGCAGCCAATGATGCCGCTTCAAGTCTGCCGCACTTGGTTTTAGCCAATCGCGGCAAACTCTTAGCGAGCCATTCAGAACTGTCCAAGCTGTCCAATCAGATAGCGGTCTAAACGGACCAATAAGAATGCGAGGCTTCAAGTTTATGGATATGGAACACAATGTGTACCTAAAGTTTTCAGGAAAAGGCAAGTAATTCTTAGATTGGATTTGTTTGTCCCTTGGGAATCAACAGAAGTTCATTTAGTGATGGATAACTTTTCTTGCCCAGGTCATTTCAGAGTCTTCTTGTTCAATCTATTTTTCCATTTATTCTAAGCTTGGAAATATTTCATGGAATATCTTATTTTACATGTAATGAATTATTACATACTGGATGCCAGCACTTCGGCAGTTTGATTTTCACTGGCTCAAGGTTGATTCAGCTTCCCATGCTTCCAAGATTGATAAAATGAGGACCCAGATTGTTGAGGAAAATATCCTGACTCGGTAAATGTATGGGCATTCGTTTAAAACCTGAGGCAACTAAATTTTTGAGTGAGGCAATGAAATCAGTAAAAATGGCCCACTGGGTTTAAAGTAGAGTTTCTACTCATTTCCAGCAAAGGAAAATATCCTGATCTTCAGGATTCCGAAGATCTGTTAGGCTTCATCAACAGACCAGAAGAAATGAAATGCTGGCAGATGCAACATTCTGAGACCCAATCCTCATTATTTTTAAGTATTACCCCTGTCCCCATAGTGCTTCTCTTCCATTGCTCTGAGCCAAGGATAACAAACTCAAGGCCTTTGGGCTGAATCTGGCACATGGGCCACTTAAATCTGGCCTGCAAGGCCAGCCCAGAAATATCAAAGGAGTGCTGTTGGAGCTGGGGAGGCCAAAACAGGCCATGCTGGTACCTCCTGGAGCCTCCGATCAGCTGATGAGGCCCCCACATGGCCTGCTTTTGGGCTCCCTGGCTTCTACCAGCCCTCTGCTGGCCAAAAACTTATAGTAAAGAACTGCAGAAAGAAAGAAGAAGAGGAGCAAAGTTTATCTTGAGCCTGTGTCAAACATCCACCGTGACCACGCCCATACTAGCAATGCCCATCATGACCACACCCACTCCCAGCCACCACCCCGGCCCTCCAAGGTCAAACTCAACCCTGATGTGGCTCTCAATGAAATTGAGTTTGACACCCCTGCTCTGAATGGGAGGAATTGTATTTCGATCAAAGGAATCTTAAGAAGTGTTCTGATTCAAAAGTATTGCAGAAAACCTAATTACCTTAGAATCTATTACATCCATAAATTTAGCTGCCTGACAGGTTTTAAAAATATTTCAAGTGATTTTTTTTCAATGCATTAATATAGATATATAGGTATATAGATACAGACAAAGGAAATAAATGTTAATATTGGTGAATTAAAGTAATTTTCTGAAAATATACATACAGGAATGCAATCCGGATAATCAAATTTCCCATCCACACAATTAGCTCTTAATGATCTGGTATTTGGATGTGGTTTATAGCCTCTTAAACATACAAATTCTACTGTAGTTCCATCCTCAGAATATATTTTATCTCTGTTGCTCCACCTCAGCTTTATATTACGTACTCTCATATCTTCTTCATTTGCTGTACAAGCAACTGCAAAAGGACACAGATCAGATGATATATAGAAGGTTTTAGACTGAGGAATTCATTTGATAAAGTAATTAAAGTTTAGGTTAGAAATTCTATGTTGCAATAGGCTAAAATGATTAAAGATCTATGTAAATGGATCCCCCCTTTTTTCTTTTGTCTCTCATGAACTAATTATCAGTCATGTAATTAGTTTTAAGCAAGACAATGTTACATGTATGAAAGGAAGAAGAAAAATATTTTAGTCCCCTTCTTCCAAATTTCCTCATACTGAATGTCTGAATTAGGAGAAGACCAAGTTCAGGCAACTTCTCTTAAAATGTCATCTCATATCTTCTTTTTCAATGTAGATTAAACGGGACTAAATGTGATTAAGTCAGCAGAGTCTGCCTCCATACTTAGCCTATTTAAAAAAAACAATAATTTTAGTTCTCTAGAGATTCAACTAATACTACCATTCCAAAAAAGAAAAAGCAAATTTTGGTTTAGGGAAAGCAGAATTTCACCAGGAAGGTTTAACAAAATTGAGGACAACATTTGTAAATGGTAAAAGATCTTGTACAATTCTCCATTATGAAGCAGTTTCTCCCAGAGAGAGTTATTTTATCTTGGTTCATAATACTACCACTTGTTCTGACCAAGGCTTCCTGAGACCATAATTAAGCACACACTTAGTTCAAACAACTCTCTTTTTATTCCAACACTGGTAATTATGTTCATTCCCAGCCCGTAATGAGCCCCAAACAGTCTCTCGAGATAAGCACCCACCTTTATCTCTTGCTGCCAACAACTAAAGTGCCAAATTAACTGTAAAAGGCCAAATGGACTACAAAGTCCACACAGAGCTTCAAGGTTTAATCCAAACAGAGTGAACAATGTTGCTTCCTGCAAAGGTTCGTGTCCTTTTGCTCCTCCTTTATATCTTATGGGAGGGGCAATCACCTCCAAGCCTTACTCTCGAGTAGTCCCTTTTGTCTTAACTGTTCTTGCCTTCTGGAAGCTCTGCGCACACGTGCACTGGGAACAGGCTCTGCTTGTGCCTCTGCCAGGCTGCTGTCAGATTCTGGAGGCTTCAGAGTCAGCACATAATTCCCAGATGGCCTTGGCCCCATCTCTGTATTGGGTGCAGGACCATCATCCGAGTCCTCCCCATCCTGGACTGGTCCATGTTCCTCCTCACTGTCTGACTCTGCTGCCATCTCTGCAGGCTGCCGGCAGACCACAATACTACTGCTAATTCTATTTCAAGGAAGTAAAATATTTTCCGGCACTGACATAACAGCTCTGGTGTCATGAAATTTATATTATTCCCAAAGTACAATATTTATCTATAAATAATAAATCTATAAAGAATTATAGATAATACTTATACCTCTACATGTTGGTGGTTGTGACCAATGACCATTTTGACAAGTCACTCTTGGAGAACCTTCCATTGTATAGAAATTTTGGCACTGATAAGTTACAGTTTCAGATGGGAAATAGATTGGCTTGGGTGAATCCAGAATGTCTCCATTCTCCACAACAGGTGGGAGTCCACATTTTCCCCCAAGAGCTGCAACAGATACACAATCTATTGAGCAACACCACTCAGGATTACAAATATCGTATAATCACATGCAATTTAAGCATATTCATAAGAAACTATATTTCAAAATTATATTAATTCTTATTTTTAAAAAGCAACAATACCTTACAGCTTAATTGATTGGCAGAAAATAATTACTAGTGTTCTCCCTAGTATTGTCTTTCCACTTTAGAACTTATAGCGTCATTACTTTCTTAATGCCTAAACTCAGTTCTGTATTTAAATGAATAGCAATTGCTTTGGGATAAATGGCATCTCCCCACAAGGCGTTCTCAATTTATTTCCCACTCTCCATTAATAACTACTCAAACTCTGCACAAATAAATTGTGTAGTTGTATTGGATGTAGTTGTATTGGATGTTGTTATCCATGTCAGTATTGAAGTGATGGAAGGCTTGCAACACAATAAAAGCAAGAATAGAAAAACTTTTTAAAAGTATAAACATTACAATTAATAGAGATTGATTAAAACTAGGAACCGGTACATAAGCAGTACAGTGGTGGAATCTTCTTTCTTAGTGCACTGATTACTCCCAGTGTAAAATACTCCATCATGGCCTCAAGCCCATTGGCTAAGCCAGGTTTTGAGGCAAAGCCAGAAGGCCTAGTGGGTGAGGGCATATGTGGCCTTCAGAAGCAAGATTTTCCAGATTGTGAAGGCATGGCAGAGAAGGACCATTTACTAGTTCCTTCTAGCAAAGTTCCTTGACTGAGTAGATCTGCAGCATGTTCCTTTTGCCAGAGGGAGTAGGGTGGGCCAATCCTATTGGGGTGAAGCAGTCCCCTGGGCCATGAAAGGCTTTAAAGATGGTAAATGTTCCAGACTAGCAGGCTCGAAAGCCTGCAACTCTGATTGGCCTGCGAATAGCCAATCGTGATTGGTCGCCATAGACTGATGCGATTGGCCAGTAAATGGGCAGTAAACTCAAATCGCCTTCATTGGCTGCCTAGCCGCAGCCAGCCCTATATAAGGGGCTGCTGCAGCTGGGATAGTTCGCTCAGATCTGAAGTCACTAATAAAGAGCTGTTGTTGCTATCTGAGTCTTGCCTGCATTCTTGAACCATCCTCCCAGATCTAACACTGGCGACGAAGGTGGGATGCGGAGGCAATGAACTCTATTGATTTGAACTACCTGAAGGAGTACGTGGCTGACAGAGCGCAACAATGGCGACCTGGCCAGCAGCGCTATACCACGCGCCCCATTCGATCCAGTTAGCGAGGACTGGGACTCATATATGGACAGATTTCAAATGTTCCTGGAGTCCAACAACCTCAAAGATACCACGCCCAGCAAGAAACGAGCTGTTTTTCTAACCCATTGTGGGCCAGCCGTTTTTAAGATGGCTAAAGCCTTAGTGAAGCCAGCTGAGGTTAAAACCATGGATTGGGACACCCTTGCTCCCATCCTGCGCAACCATTACGCCCCAGCCATGCCAACTCTCATTCGCAGACACGAATTCTACCAGAGGGACCAGCGTGAAGGTGAGAGAGTTGGGGATTTTGTGGCAGACCTGAGGAACCTGGGCAGTTTATATGGCTTCGCCAATCTTGAAGAAGCCATGAGAGACCGCATCATCCTTGGCCTCAGAGCCCCAACTGTCCAGAGCAAGATCATGGCCAAGGGAGACATCTCGCTTGCAGATGCCATAGCAGATGCCACCACAGCTAAAGCCACTCGTAAATCAGCAGCACGAATGCGTCGAACCAGCGGAACCAACCGCCAACCCACCAACGATGCTGGGAAACCTCCAGACAAGTACACGACAACCACCCATCATGAAGATGTCGAATCATCCTCAGACAGCGGAGTCCACAGACTCCGGTCAGAACGTGAGCAACGAGACCAGCGGGGTCGTAAATCCAACTACCAATGCGCCGGATGTGGGGGAAACCATCCTCGATCCGAATGCAGATTTTTAGATGCCATGTGTCGTTTTTGCGAGAAACAAGGGCACATCACGAAGGTATGCAGAAACAAGAGAAATTCCAGCCCCAGACGGAGAGGGAGCAGCCCAAAGAGGAATGATGGCAACTCCACCACACAGAGGGACCGCCCTAGCAACCAGTGGAAACCAGTACAGCAGACCCCGAAGGTTTAACGGCACACCCAGACGAGAGGAGGCTCATCAAACCATCACCATCGGCCACGCTTCATCACTTGACGCTAAAAAAATCCGAGTAAAGGTCACCATTGAAAACAAACTGTGCATCATGGAAGTCGACTCTGGGTCATCACTATCCATGGTATCCTGAAAAACACTCAAGCAGCTGATTCACAACATCCGACGCCAAGACCTCAGCAGTCAGAGACTGAAAGACTATCAAGGCAACCGGATCCCAGTCGCAGGTACCCGCCATTTCCAGGCCTCTTTCAAGGGACATAATGCAATTCTACCACTCACCATCGTAGACAGAGACCGGCCAAGTCTATTGGGCCTTCAGTGGTTCGCGCCATTAGGAATCGGAATGGCTGGCATCTATTATACTGAAGACGATGACTGGGAGGCGGGCCTCGTCCACGACTTCCGAGAAGTGTTCAACGAAAGCCTAGGCAAGTACACGGGGTCCCCCATTTCATTTAATCTTCGCCCCGACATTGCACCCATTTGCCTAAAGCCATGCCGAGTTCCCTTTGCTCTCAAATCCAAAATTGATGAGCAACTGGACAAAGGCCACCCTCAATCACGTGCTAAGGCAGAGCGCCTATCCAGTACCAGTTACTCAACATCTCCTGCATTCACTTGGGGGTGGCAAAATATTCGCAAAATTAGATCTGGCCCAAGCATATCAACAGCTGCCAGTTGACCCCGAGACTGCAGAAGCCCAAACTATAGTCACACATCGTGGTGCATTCAAATGCAACAGACTCCAGTTTGGCGTAAGCGTAGCCCCAGGATCTTTCAAAGGCTGATGGAGAGACTATTACAAGGTATAAAAGGGGTCGTGCCCTATTTTGATGACGTATTAATAGCAGCACCCACAAAAAGTCAATTAGAGAAACGCCTCAGAACAGTCCTACAGAGGTTCAAAGATGCTGGCCTCAAGGTTAAGAAGGAAAAGTGCCAGCTTTGCACAGAGAGGGTGGAGTTTCTTGGCTATCTCCTAGACAAACAAGGAATCCACCCTACAGAAAAGAAATTAGCAGCTATCAAAAATACCCCAAGACCCAAAAACAAAACTGACCTCCAAGCCTTCCTGGGACTTATTAACTTTTATAACATCTCCTACCGCAGAAGGTGACTGTTGCTGAGCCCCTTCATAGACTACTCGATAAAAGGGCCTCCTAGATTTGGGGACATCGGGAGGAACACGCCTTCCAGCAAGACCTCCTTACCTCTGATGCAGTTCTAATTAAATATAATGAGACACTCCCCTTGACTGTTACTTGTGATGCCTCACCATATGGGGTGGGGGCCATCCTGAGCCACGTCCTACCAAATGGCTCAGAGGCACCAATTGCATTCTTTTCAAGAACTCTATCAAAAACAGAAAGAAACTATAGCCATTTAGATAAGGAAGCCCTTGCTATTGTCTCTGCAATTAAAAGGTTTCATGAATATGTTTATGGGAGACCATTTTCTATTATAACAGATCATAAGCCACTACTTGGCATTCTGGCGGGCGCCAAACCTACTCCACACATTCTCTCCCCCAGAATGATGTGATGGTCGGAATTTCTCACTGCCTACGACTATCAATTAAAGTATCGCCAGTGGAAAACTATTCCTCACACAGATGCCTTGAGCCGCTTGCCACTACCCGAGCCACAGGAAGACCCAGCTCCCATGCTCCCAGTACTTCAAATAGAGACAATGCCCTTGCCTCAACTAATGGCCCAGGACATCGCCTTTGAAACCAAAAGAGACTCTTGTTTGGCACGAGTTCTTGGCTGGGTGGAGAGGGGATGGCCAGATTACGACACTAAGGAAATATTTAAGCCATTTAAAAACAGACAAACAGAACTTTTTTCACCAAGAGGGTGCATTTTGTGGGGAGACCGAGTTGTTGTACCAACTAAGTTACAAAAAAAGGTCCTGCAAATGCTACACGATGGACACCCAGGCATCGTGCGTATGAAAGCACTGGCAAGAAGTTGGTGGCCAGGTATGGACAAACAAATCGAAACCTGGGTCGCCTCTTGTAACAGATGCCAGGAAAACCACTCAGCCCCACCAAAAGCTCCACCAGCAGAATGGGAAACACCCAGGGGTCCCTGGTCTCGCATTCATATTGATTTTGCGGGACCTACAAGAGGCCACACTTTCTTAATAACTGTAGATGCATATTCTAACTGGCTTGAGGTCAATAAAATGAAATCAACCACTACTGAGGCAGTCATCAAAAAACTGAACAGACTCTTTGCCACACATGGCCTACCAGATGTCCTGGTCTCTGACAATGGGCCCCAATTTACTGCCTTAGCCTTTGAACAGTATTTAGCGGAACGGGGCATCCGACACGCACTCACATCGCCGGCTCATCCTGCGGCGAATGGTAGGGCTGAACGAATGGTTCAGTTTACAAAGAAAACCCTGCAGAAAATGGATCAAGGCAACATCCACGACAAAGTCACTAGAATGCTTCTCCTACAACACATCACACCAAACAGCACGACCAACAAGAGCCCAGCTGAACTCCTGATGGCCAGGAAACTCAGATTGCCTCTAGACCGCTTGCACCCAGCCTACACCCCGGAAAAGCCCCTGGGTTCCAGCAGCAAGCACCGTGCCTTTAAGGTAGGAGACCCTTGCAAAAAAAATTTCTGGGGATCCCCTCTGGATTCTTGCTCAAGTAACTCAGGTTACGGGTCCCCGCTCCTACCGTCTACTCACCACCGATGGCAGAGCGTGGAAATGCCATATTGACCAGCTACGCTCCAGACTGACCACAACTTCCACCCCTGACCCTAACTTTGACACCGGGGGGGAGGGGAAGCCGTGAACCCAGAATTTGAACCAATGCCTGT